AAAAACATGATCATCCGATGATGTTGCAAGATTGGAAGAGTCACTGGCAGAATTCATGGATGGAATCGATTTTAACACTCGTTCTACTTGTAATTTGTGTCTTTCAACTTCGTTGGATGCTTTGAATTTTGGTCGATCAGGATTTGAAGCTTCTCGAGTCTCTTCAGGTGGTAAATGTAATTTTTCAATGTACATTTTTCGTTTCTTGAGCTTGAATGCATAATTGAGAGTTTCTGGTGTGAAATTATATGTCAGTGAATTCATCTTGAATAACTTCTTGATATAAAAGAGTCCACTATATTCCTTAAATTCCCATTCGCTCACGTCTAGGCCAGCTCCTGTAAAACTATCAATGGAGAGTGATAAATCTGACAATTGTTCGAGTTCATTAAGAAGGGAAGGTGAAACTGAATTAATGGAAGCCTTAGGAATGGTACAAACACAAACGGAAAGGCTGGAACGAAGAAGAGCTTTGAGTTGTGACAAAAATTTGAGCATGTATCGGAATTGAGCTGTCTTGCTGTCATCACCACTATAGAATAGGGAACCCAGCGATTGCAGACCAATTCTAACAACAGCTCTACTCGAAATTTCATTACTCGTGTTGGCAGCATTTGTGTAGTGTGTCTTACTTGCAGAAATTATTTTGGCAATTTTTCGCAATAATCTATCATAAAACACACCAATTTTCTCATCAAAAATTTCATCCTTTTCAAACAGAACATGAAGCCCATCTAAATTGGCTTTGATAATTTCAGGTTGCATGGTCTTACTCAAATCATATTCGCTGCACAACACTGTACCAACCACTCCACTCTTTTCTCCTGAGGATGCACTTGCAGAGGTTGAAGATCGTTGTTGTTTCAATTTCATTTGCTGTTCTACATAGTCTTGATACCTCCATGCAATTTTAAGTTCACTATTTGTGGAATCTTGTGTCGTCGAAGGTTGTGTGTGAGAGGTTGCGGTAACAGAAGTACTTGATGAAGAAGAAGTAGCTCCAATTTTTCTATTCAATCGGTCCATAATACTGTTGGGTGTGTTAGTTGTTGATGTTGTTGTGCTAATCTCGGAATTTTGTGATGATTCGCTTGGAGTTGACAATTTGGATGTAGCATTCGAAGAAGTGGAACTATTCAAAGAATTTGTCAGAGATTGATCCTTCTCTTGTTCCTTTTCTTCTAATTCAGCCTTGTATCGAGAATAATTAAAAGCAAAATACGAGGAGAGTGACGGATGGAGACTGGATAATACTTCGGTTCCATGTCCTCCATTACCACTACCACTTGATGATAAACTCACACCTGCAGAATATTGTATCTGATTAAATAATCCACACGCTATGGAATGTCTATTGGTCATTCCTTCCGATAGGAAATACCTCATCAAATGTTGGCAATATTCACTAAAACGATCCTCTTCAATCAAGACCAAGCTTCCCAATGGAAATCCTCCTCCAATAATTCCATCCAAATCATGAAGTCCTGATGATACCAACAATTGTCCATTGTGCACGGAAGGCTTCGTTCCGAGAGGGAGTTGTTTTTGAAGGGATGCTCCTTTTCGAACAAAAGTTGTTTTCTTCATTTTTTTTGGTGTCGTTTTGAGTTTTGGTTAACCCATAATTTGAACGGATGCAATTTCCAAAGTCTCGCTCTTGTGAGTGTTTGAAAGAACAGTTGGACGTCGTTAAAATGACACACGGAACGAGATGATGAGACTTCAATTTTCTAAACCCAGTTCACTTTGATTGTCCAAGCTGGACGTGAAAAGAACTTGTTCGACAAAGTCTGACTGCACGTGTTGTTGTAAATTCAAATATATTGAAAGCAACTTTTACTTGAAAGAGGTGATGGATTTTGCTAAGGCTTGAGCTGGCGTGTTTGGTGTTGCTTTTACCATTTTGTCTTTCTTATCCAAATCATAGTCTACCAAATCCACAAATGTCTTGATATACTCGTCAACATTCTCTTCTTGTTTTCGTTCCTTAATCAATCGAGCAGCACCTGCAACTCGACTCTTGTATTTGATAATGTCACTTGGTGATAACTTGAAACCACCAACTTCGAACATTTGTCGTAAATAATCACGTGCTTTTTCAACATAACCTTCATCGACGAGCTTGAACACCATGTGCTTGTATGCTTGGTATGTGGGTATTATTCCTTTTTCTTTCATTTCATCAAAAAGAGCCATTGCTTTTTCTGTTCGTTTCGCCCTACAATACATCCTCACTAACAGTGCATAGGAAATACTGTCTGGAACGAGTTGATGCTCTTGGTAGGTCTTTGCAAAGAATTCTTCTGCTCGTGTAATCCGAAGTGCGTTTGTAAAAACTCCAAGCAATGCATTCATTGAATAGTTATTCACAGGTAAATTACTTTCTTTCATCTTTTCGAAAACTGCTAAGGCGTCAACAATATTTTGATTTTGTTCTTTTGTGAGATTACTATTTCCTTTCACTTGTTGAGCAACACTGTAGCAACTTAGGACAGAAACGTAGGTGTGTTCTGTTGGTTTGATACCACAATCTTTCATCTTTTTCAAAACTTTTTTCATTTTGGAAACATCTCCGTCGTCGGCACATGCATTAATCAATGAATTGATCGTGTAAATATCAGGCTTGTAACCTTGCACTTCCATTCGATCGGCCATTTCGAATGCTTTGTGGCGAAGATCCTTTCGTTTCGAGAATGCCTTAATGATAGAATTGAAAGTTGCCTCCGATGGCTCAGCCATCATTTGTTCTTCCAATCTTCTAAAGAGCATCATTGCTTTCTCAGCTTGTCCCTTAATGGCACATGCATCGATCATGACAGTGAGAGTGACTTCATCATGAGGAACACCATACACCATTCCCATGGCCATGTAATGATTCCATGCTCTCTCTACGTCTCCCTTATCAATACAGCCTTTGATGAGATCTGTGTGGAGGACTGTATCGGTTGGAAGGTTATGAGAACGCATCAACTCTACCATTTGGAAAGCTTCATCGAGCTTGCCTGCCTTGACCATGGCGTGAACGACAATACTATAGGGAACCACATTGGGACTAATTTGATATTCATGTTGCATTTCTCGAAGGTATCCATATGCTTTTTTGTATTCTCCTTGTGCAGCACATGCTTGCATGACAGCACAAAATGTGTGCTCAGTTGGAATCAAGTACAATTCGTCATTCATGTGGCTATTATCACTCAATAGTGATGCTTTTCGTTTCTGTATGATTAATTCGAGTTCAGACTTGGAAGGTCCCAAATTTTTCAACTTTTCAAAGGTTTGTTCAGCAAATTCTAATTTACCCTGAATGGCTTGACATCGAATAAGATAATTAAAGTTTTTGAGAGTGAGAGGTTTGGATTTGAAAAATAATTCTGGATCTGTCTCTTCGGATAACATTTTCAATTTTTCAAGCTGTAAAAAGGTACTGGTTGGAGTTAAAAGCGCTGTGGTCAACTTGGTAAAACTACGATCATCAGTAAAATAAATATCGAATAATCCGTCTGGAGTTTCTTCAAATCGTAATCTGTTTCGAATATTCTCTGGCACAATTTTTCCTTCTTTCCACAATTTGATTAATCTTGGAGACTTGAATGGAACAAGTGTCTCTGGCTTGTCTGGATCAAATTTGTGAGTATCTAGTGTTTTCTCTGCAAGTTCTGTTGGTGTTAGGGATTTGGAAGCTTTCTTTGAAAATCGTTCTTGAAGGGTCTGGTTGGGTGCTTCCATCAATGAGAGGTGTTGCCTATCTATTTGTGGTGAGGAAGATACCTCTTCTGGTCTCCTTGTAGATTCAAGTTTTTGTTTGATAATTTCTTCGTCTCTCGCTTTACTTGTAGGAGCAGCTCTCTTCCTCTGCTTTTGCCTGTTTGTTGCAGATTCTGTCTTGTCTTGTGCTATAAGCTCACCCATTGCCATTTCCAGAGCTTCACGTTGATGCGGAGCGATATTTGTTGGTACCGATGATAATCCCAAATGTTTGTGCAACTTTTCCCTATCCGATAAATCTCCCAAATTTTTCAATTCGTCTTCTTCATTCTCTCTGTTGAGTGTAATGATCGGAGTGTTTTTGCGTTCATAAACTTTCTTAGAAGTAACGGGTGATGATGATTTAATTGTTGTTTTTTTGGTCATTGCTGAACCATAGAGTCCACCTCCTTCATACTGGGAACTTGATGAGTACCCATTCCATAAATTTATATGAAAATTCTTGGCCGTATTCCGATAACAAAAACTTTCGTTACCCAACCACAAATGATTATTAGAATTGTTCAAAAATGTATGATGATGATGTGTATACTTCGACCCATTCAACAATTTGCTGCGGGTCATGGCCGAAGAGGGAGCCAATATTTGATGTTTCAGCATTTTTTTGAAGTTGAATTGGCATTCGCCTAACAGCCATTCAGTTCTACAATTGTAGAGTTGAGTCAATGCATTGAACACCTGATAACTTTGGACTGATAAGAAAAAAGAATTCGCGGTCTGCAGGACTCGAACCTGCGCGGGTCGCCCCATTTGATTTCAAGTCAAACGCCTTAAGACCACTCGGCCAAGACCGCTGCCATAATATGTAAAGCATTTCTGAAAGTGAACTAGCTATTCTTGGAAAACGGGCAAGCAACAAAGCGTTCCTTTAGTTTTTTGCGCGTAAACTTCACGAGTTAATTACATGTGGCAAATAAAAATCCAATCAAAATTAGATGATTACAATTGAATGTTAAAGAGTACCTGCTCATGAAAAAGAATGTATGAGAACATGACAACCTTTCCAATTTAAAAGAAATAGAAGCTCCAATCGAAACTTTCTTTGTTCACTCAGTTCCTTTTACAGACTTCTTGCTGTTGTTGTTCCAGTTTGATTCAAATAATTTATCACAAAAAAAACAAAGACCCACACGTACGAGGACAAGGAATTGCGTTCATGCTTCGTCTTTGCATCTCCTGATTCATAGCGGCACAATTTCCATTTTGAAAATTACCTCCTGCCAAATAAAAAAATGCAAGACCAAGAAATGTCATCTGACAGCAGCAAATATCCCAACAGCAACAATGATTCACCACTCGTGGCCACATCTGCACAATCTCTCTCTGGAACCGCTCTCAACAACAACCAATCTTCCACCACATCTAGTCAAGCATTACTTCCTCCTTCCTCATCATCACTAAAAACTCAATGTTCGCCAGCAGACAAAAACTTTGTATTGGCGGCAATTGAACCCACGACGACCTCTCCTCAACAACTACGAGAGCTGTTTCCGTGGCAACGACCAGACCAGGTTCCTTTGAAACTCCACAATCTCATAGAAATGTTTCAAAACATTTGGGATGGACCAATCCCAGCCAGCCAAAATTTGGGATGGTTCAGGTTATTTGGGACGAGTTTATTTCCCCGACACCTATCGGTTTCATTAGTTGAAGCCAATCCCTAATTGCCCTCCATACACCAAAAATACGGTAGACCTTGTAGCTACGGTTGAGGACGAAGCGAATGACGAAGAGGAAGAACAACAGCCAAGAACACCAAAAAACTTCTCCAAGGCTCTTGCAAGGAAGGAGAAATGAGAAAATGTGCTATCAAAGCTCCATATACTCCACCACAACCACAAAAGAAATCAAAAAGTCGTTAGATCATACCAAATAACTTTTGGGATGTTCATAACAAAAATTTGGGATTAAGACAGAAAACTTTTGAAACAATATCGTTTCACTGGAACGTTCAAAAAAAAATGGTATCTCCCAATTCCCGCCACCTCTTTCAATTTCATTAAGGAAGACCGATCTCAAAACTCCGTTCCGAGTTAATTGAGCACAGTATCTCCCTCTACGATCCATTCGTCGACATAAAAAACCTTCCGTCATGACATTCTCCCGACATCGAGTGAGTGTTCAAACATGTTGTGGAGTGCTCGAATTGACCTGGATGAAAGCATTGGCTGTGTTGGGAATGGTGATGTGTGCCTTCACATTTTTTGTCTTGTTGGCATTGCTCATTTTTGGACAAAATTCAAGTGCTCATCAGGACATTGCCATTTTAGTGGCACGATCTGAAATCATGTTGTATCAGGCATGGATTGATGCGTATACTCTTGTGGCTGCCTATTCACACAATGCATCTTACATGTCGTATTATAACAATTATAAGTACACAGTGAAAAATTTAACCAATTACTTGTTTGATACCATTCCAAGAGATATTTACAATGTTTCGTATGCAGAAGATGTCACACGAGATTTGGAAATTTCAAATGAAATTGCTGCAACATTGATAGTGAATGGAAATTTCACACAGGCAGTACAAATGTTGACTTCGGATCGATTTTTAAGGGAACGAAGTGCATATGGTACTCTGCTTGATTCCTTATTACACTACATTTTAACAACTCAGCAAAAAGCAATTGAATCGAGTGAAATTGCCATGCTCACTTCTCTCATTTATCTTTCGGTAGCTATTGCAATTACAGTTCCAGCAATTGCTTTCATTTTAGGATTTGCCATTAATAGAGATGGAATTTATCAACAACGTCTGCAAAGAGCTAGAGCCATTGAATTGCAAGATACGATGAATAATCCAAAATTGAAAGCTCTTTTCAAGAAACATTGTATTAAGGAATTGAATCAAGAAAATTTCGATTTTTTAGAACAAGTTGATGTCTATAAGAAATTGTGTGAACATTTATTTGAATTGGTACATTCAGATGATGAAGTTTCGACCAATTCTGGGGACACGAGTTTGCATTCGGTGGCTTCACAGCCTCACGTCACCAATCAAGAAAATCAAATTACTCTGCAAATTCCAACTCTCAACAGCACATTGGCTGGCACTAGTTCCAATTCTTTAAGCACTCTGGATACTTCCAAAAAAAGACAACGTTCCATGTCCTCAGCCACAGAATTGGGCAATGAAATTGAACAAGTAGAAGCTCGAAAATATTCTCTCGTGAAAGACATTTACAACACATTTTTAGATGTGAATGGAATGAAATCGTTGAATATAACTAAAAGTTCAGCAGAGGTCGTTAAGAATGCTTTACAACAATATGAAGATAAGACCATTCATTCATTGAGTGATTCTTTGTTTGATTCATTGGAGAGGGACATTTCCATTACCTTGTTGGATTCGCATTTCAGATTCAAACAAAGTATGGACTTTTTGAAGGAAATGAAAATTAAAAAGATTCATGACTTGAAGACTAATAATAATGACAATAAGAATCACCAAGAGAAGAAGTAAGAGAGGTTTTTCAATAATTTTGCAATCATTGAATTTTTGACGCCTAGAGAAAATGTAAATTCCCAAAATGTAAATAAACGTTGTAAATTAAGGTTGAAGTTGCTTCCACAACAATGAGTATTGTTCAGGACGACAATAAGGCAAGTCCATCAAGTAGAGATCAAAATGAAGAACGCCCAATTTATTCATTCACTCAAAACAAAGCTTTCCAAATTCAACGAAAATAAAACCCTCTTGCATGTATGTCAAAGAATGATGAATGCAAACAATCACTCATGTGCTGTTCAAAACAAATGTGCAATCCAAACTGTTTGGGCTTTTTGTACAAATAGGAAAATGCCAAAAATGGACTTCCTCAATATTTTCCATGTGATCCTTAATTTCCCGAGAACAAAAATTGTTGGTTCCATGAAATCAAACAATACACTGCATCATCATTGGTTGAAAAAGAACGCTCGGCTGTAAGTACAAGCAGAGAAAAATTCTTCATTGCACACACATCAAGTCACTTGTCGTTTTACTACAAGTTTTCCATCCGAATTATTTAAAAACGAACAGGAGTTATTTCTTGGAACCAGTTGAATTTCCAATCTCCAATTATCGCAAAATTTAAACTCAAAGTGGTGACTTAACAATCCTCAACCTCCCGATCACATTATGGTTCTCACTACACACCACAATTGCCACAAGAAACATCATCGAAACGATCCTCACGATCATCCCCATTCTTCTCTACCTCCATTAATGACTACCATGAGAAATCAAACACTTGAAAAACAATCAAAATATACAAATTTTGAATCCTTGGAAAATGATTGTATTTCAATGGACGATCATCATCATGATGAAGAATGGTCCGAACCAACAACAACAACTAAACAAACTCGATCGGATCAGAGTCCTTTGATCTTGGATTCTCCAAATGGTTCGTTGGATTCTTCATTGGATTTGAGTTCTCCTCTTCCTCCTTCATTTCATCTTCTTGGAGAGTTGTTATTACAACAACAATTAAATCTTAACAACAATAACAACCAAACAAATAATCATTCAAATAATCAAACAAGATTCAAAAACATCCTTATCGAACATGAATTGGTAAACGATGCACAAGGAGATGTCATGGCTGGAGATGATTCTTACATGTATCGATCACCATCGTCGTTATGTGAAAGTCAAACCTTTTCGATTGAAACTGAAAGTTTAGAAGAAGAATTGGTGTTGGACTCTGATCAGGAGGAATCATCCATGAATGGAAACGAAATGGAGGAGAGTGACGAGTTTATTGAGAATTCAGATCAACGACCATATGAAGAAGAACGTGGGAGAAGAGGAGTTGGTATGGAAAGGAGAAGGATTGAGAGAATATTCAGAGATGATCCATGTGGTAGTGTCGTTGAAGAAAGTGAAGAAATGTTGAGAAGTGGTTTCTCTAAATTTGGTAATTTATTGAGGAAGCTTAAAGAATTGTTGAAGGAAGCAAAAGAACAATTGATTCATGAATGGGATGAAAATGGAAGATATTTACTCAACTATTATTATCATCAAGTGGCACACTACTCTGGTGGAGATGACAGTCACTTGTCAAAACTTTTACATGCTGTCACTCCTCGAAAACTTCAGCAATTATTCGATGGTTTAACTCTTGTTATGAATCGACTGTTGATACTCAAAAGTACCTCCCATTCAAACACCTCTTCTGAATCTTTGTACCTCTCTCCTCACAATTTCTCCAGAAGCAACAGCAAATCTGACAACTGTCAACAAACCAATTCAAGTCCTCAGCGACACCATATTAAGGAATTGCCTCGTGAAATTCTCGAAAACATTTTTAGCTATTTATTTCAGAAAGGTGGAGTCTCCAACAAGAATGGTTTCACTACTGCAACCACAGCCACAACCAATACTTCCTTCTTGTGTGAAGAAGATTTCTTGTCTGCTTTTGCTCGTGCAAACATTTTCAGTGTTTTACTCACATGTCGAGAATGGTATGAAGTAGTAACAGAGTCGACTCAATTCTGGAGAGAAAGAGTCATTCGATTGAGTTTTCACTTGAAACGAAAAGAATTTCATGAAATTACCAATTCCACTCACAAAAATGGAAAAGTCTTTAGAAATAGTTCTCAACTTCAACAACCTACAGAATCGAATTCTGCTTTTGTACATAATCCTTCTTCCCTGTCAAATTTCACATCCAACATTTCTGTAGATTCACAAAAGAAAGCATTGCTGGACGAAACTCTTCTCGATATTGACTTGAAAATGAAACGATTCCATACAGACCATCCCAAGCGATGCAAACAATTCTACTTTTTCTACTGGCTTTCTCTATTAAGACAAGTTCAAGAACAACAGGCAAGAAAACATGAAAATTCCATCCTTCAAGTGTCGTCAGCTTTTCAACATCACGGCTCTGACACTTCTCATCAAACTTGGACCAGTTTGAGATCTCGACAAAACGCAATCGCTTCCAAAATGAGATTTCAAAGTGGTGTTGAAATTGTGTTTGTATTAATTGTGGGATTATTTTTCATTTGGCAATGGTTTGGTTTGTTACTTTTTGGAGGAATATTTTCAAAATCCAATTCAAGAAATGGAAAAACATTGGGATCACACAAGAGACGTCTCATTCATTAGATCCATTGGGGATGCCTTTCTCTCAATTCTGATAACCTCAGAACAAAAATTACAGGTCTTTACAAAATTAAAAAGTCACACACGTTAAAAATAATGAACAACAACAACAACACTTACTCGGAGAGCACACCATACTCCATCAATGACAACAATGATTTTTTGGTGTTTTAAAGTGCTCCGATCACATACTCATCTCTCACACGAGAGACGGAATTATCATCTTGACAGAATGATAATCACATAGTTATTATTATATAGATCTATGGCCCGAATGATGAATCATTTTAGTTGTCTCTTCAACTTACCAATGTAATAAATGATGGTAATTCTTGATCAAAATATTTCTTGCTCCATTACCGTCACGAGGGATGTGGAAGTGACAATGATTGCAATGAAACCATTTGCTTCCATAAAGGTCTTCCTTGATCACTGAACAATTTCCACACGTTTTCGATGTATATTGTTCTGTGACAACATGTACCTTGCATCCACGCATTTCTGCCTTTTGCAAGAGTTTCATTCGAAAATCATAGTGTCTAAATCGCAACATTTGGCGAACAGTTTTTCTAGTAATTTTTCTTCCAACCCATTCGGAGGTGTTGGTGGTGGTTTCACTTGTGGTGGTGTCCCTTGATTCCCATCCTTCGAATGGTGAAGACGATGCAACAAGAGGTTCTGTTCGCACATCCATATTCTCCGTTTGGCCATTAGTATAACCTTCTTGTCCTTGACACGTGGTATCTTCTTTTCCTTGACGCTTCCTTTGTTTTTGTTTTCTAGCAATCATGGCCTTGACATTAAATTCAGGTATTATAATTTCAGAATAGTGGAAAGTTAAATAGTCAATGATTTTGTTATGCATATCATTCACCTTATTTCTAATTTTGCTTTCCAGCCTTCTAATCTTCTTTTTTAAGGCTTTTCTTAAACCCTTATAAAATTTTCGTTCCTGCCGAGAATTGTATTTTAGAAATTTGTTCTTGGCAATTTCCGACCTGAGCTGATCTTGCTTTAGAGAAAGGGAAAAGAGTATGGTGTTTTCTCCTTGAGCGGCAAACTCCAACGCGTCTCCATTACTATCATAACCATACATGAAGCATCGAACACCTGGATCCAATGCAATGTATTCCTTTCTGAGTTCATTTTGAGAAGGTTGTGGGCAGTCCTTGAGAAATATCTTGTCATATTCAATTCCACTGTTCGAATTGGACTCGTAGAAGCTTTTATCAAACCGTTGGAATTCTTGTCGAGTTAAAGCTTTGTGATAACGGACTGGAAGGCAAACAAAATATCTTCCTCTTTCTCGTACAAAGGTTGTCTCGTGTGAAAATTTTTTGTTGTCTTGTTTGGGCAATCATGGAAAAATTAGAATTCAAAAAAGTTCCAATTACATGAATCAGTCACATTCATGTAAGAGATTCAAATCACATGCATGTAAGTAAAATCGAAATACATATATATACATACCAATCTCTTCCTTTAACCACTTTCGTGCTCTTGCAGGATAATAAAATTTCAAAAGATGATCCGTAGATTTCTTGGAAGGACATGCACTTTCATTCCCTTTAAAAAAGGTAGGTTTTAACAACACTCCTTCCTGTGATAATGAAATGTTTGTCACCTTGAACGATTGATATGGATGTTGATTGCTTCGTCCTTTCATTTCGAATTCACGAGGTTGTCGAGTAAAATGTTTGGGATTAAATCTTTCGTTCAATTCCTCATCAGTAATCATCTCCTTCTTTCCTTTTTGAACCTTTTTAAGAAATTGGTTTTTGGCCTTTCGAGCAGCCTCTTTGGATTCCTTTTCTGCTGCTTGCTTGTTTTTATATCTAGTAATTTTCTCAGCCTTGACAAAGTCTTTCACAGCGTTCAATTTAATATCTGCTGGACAATGTTTCAACTCTTGATCCCATAGCCATCTAGTTTGTTGGAATCTCAGGTTGGTTTGGGGATTCTTCAAAATTTTAAAGTAATCGTCTTCTGTGGTGGTAAGGAGTGTTTTTCCCTTGTTTTGCTCTAACATGAAATGAAGGAGACATGCTTCATTATAAGCATGGTTAGAATTGAAGAAAAATCTTTCAAAGACCTTCTTTTGTTCTGAGGTGAGTTTCAATCTCACTTTCTTTGTTCTCACAAAATAATTGTCTTCGTTTGAGATTGAGAAGGAGGTGTAAATTTGTTTTAGCAATTTCTCGATAGTGTCATCAGCTTTTTCCTTTGTTTCTACATTGTAAACAACAACAAGAGTTTGGAATTAATTGGAGGAAAACTAATGGGTTTGTAACTCGCCAAACATCCATCCTTTGGAAAAGGATTGGTGTTTGAGGGATTTTCTGCATATTTTGTCATTAGACTTTATTGAGCAGAGTCCCGAGTATTTGAAAAGGGGTGTAGAAGGTAAAAAACTCCAAAAACCGCTCAGCGGAAAAAAAGGAGAAAACCAGAGAAACGCAAGGAAGTAAGAAGGAAGTGATGAAGAAGATGGATTGTGATCAACTCACATCATCATAAATAAACCAAGTATCAAAGGTGGTGATAATGTCACAGTAATGTAAAATAAATAAATATTAAAATAAGGTTAAAAAGTAAATGTTCAATTACTTGTCGAAAAGATTCGAACAAGGCAGTCCCGCACTGTCATAATGTCCTTCCTTACCACAAGAACATTAAGGATCAGCGAAAAAGGAACTTGAAAAGCTTAAGAAAGCATGATAAGGGTGGGAGTGCGATGGGTGGGAAGTCAGTAAGCAAAGCAAAGGGAGACGAAGTACTAGTATGCAGAAAATTTTTTGAGCATGAAAATTATTTCGAATACTCAACCCAAACTCTTTTATTGTTTACAATCGAAACATTCCTGCCCTTCACTACGTTCAGAACAAATCATGTTTCTACATTGTAAACAACAACAAGAGTTTGGAATTAATTGGAGGAAAACTAATGGGTTAGTTCCGAGTATTGAAAAAAAAATATGGAGGTGAAATCGCTCTTCTGCAATACAACATCGTCTAGCGCAACTAGGCACATATCTGACACCCATCGACCCATAATTTTGTTTACATTAATATTGGTATTCCTTAGAGGAAAATTATTGGTGGATGCACCAAATCGCCAGTTATGACCGGAGATCTTCAAAGTGTTGTCAATTTGTCTATTGTGTTGCAAATTATTTGAGTTGACGTAAGATATTGACTGTTAGGTGGCTAAGATCCGAATAGGACAAAAGGTGTTGAAACCTTGACCAGGATTAATCATGGCAAGGTTGATCATTAAAGAAAGACCTTGTCGAGTGATCATTAAAGAAAAAACCTTGTCGTGTGATCACTGAAATTAGAATCATTCCAACCTGATTTGGTTTGACCATTTCACCTTTGACCACCTCAATTCACAAAGACGAGCCAATAAACTTAAATTAAACTCAAAAGCCGAAGCGTGGGAATGTAAAAACGGTCTTCTGGAGACTGTTGTGGATTACGTGTGGTGATCAAATTAAAGATGCGAGAGGAGCTAATGAGGTCGCTACTTGCTGTATACAAAAGATCAGATCTTTGTAGAAACTATAAACTATTCCTCCAAATCAACTTGTTAATTTAACCACCCTCTTTCCATCTCAGCGAAAAGAACTGAATGGTTCTGAACAATACGGTTTCTACTAGTCTAGCAAGGTATTTGGATTGAGTCGACCACCATTTGAAACTGAATACCACGACCAATCACGAGTAGAGATCATAAGATATCGAAATCCCTCTTGCGGGCTGAAGGACGTGGAGAAACAATTACACTTAAAACTGTACAAAGGTGAAGCAGATTGCTTACACTTTGAAGACAATCATCTCCAAATAATCGGAACTAGTTGAATAATTGTGTCTAAGGCTCGCATATAAATAAACTTCTTGGAACACGAATACCAATTACTCTGAGCCGTATTGAGAACCAGTGAGAGGATGGTTAATCGGGAGGTAGTAATATCCCTCAAGCTTACGACAAAATAATGTCAATTATTGGTTGGGATCAGCTTCAATATAAAGACACAACTGCTGATTGAGTTGTTTCTCACATCGTCCGAAACTGCAATGATTGTTCTAATGAACTGTGGAGTGAATTGTGACAGCTGAACCTATAGTCGCAAATTTGTTTACCATATGATAATACTAGCAGGACGAGACTGAGAGGAAATAATGAGGGACATCCATCTTCAAGGCTAATCAACCAGTCTTCGACACTTCGTAGGGGTGGAATATAACCTTAAAATTCGATCAATTGTCTCCTGAGTAGGATTGCTCAAATCGCCTACTGTTTGAGTAATTTCGAAGGAGAATCGAAGTTTAATCTATTCAATACCTTCGCTATTTCCTCCAAATCCAAAATGTCCATCATAATTCATTTTCGTACCAAATCAACATTTCAGATTTTGTAAACTTGTCGGATCTTTAGCATTCTTTACATCTGTTTGACAGATCAAAGAGTTGAAAATTGTAAATAGATGATCAAATATTCCATCATCTGTCCTTAAAGAACTGAGTGCTGTGCTGTAATGCCTCGTCTGAACTCGATGTTGGGGTTGTAAAGGTATATCTGTGTTGCGTTGTTGACTGGGAAGAGAAAATCGCAGCTTCTAACTAATATGAGACCTGTTTCACAGTTATGATTGAATTTGCTGACTAGGACGTTAGGGCTAACATGCATTCCATAAACATTGACGAGAAGTATTTGGGTTGACGATGATTGGGGCTGGTGTGTCTAAACCGAGAGAGCTTCCAATATTCTCTTGTTCAATTTTCTGGAGAGTTTTGAGGTCCCTATTGGCATATCTGTAGATCATCATTGATGTGTTTCAATCCTACATATTCATCATTGACGAGTTGTACATTTTAACGGTGTAGGAATGGTGTAATACCAGAGTTGATTACGTCAAGAAATCCAGTCTCTATTAAACTTGGCTTCGAAATGGTAACTTAAATTTTCTCGATTTTCTGTTTGACTCTCGATTTAACCGGTTGGGATTCACATTGTTGTAAAACGAATACGAGAGATGTATTATAGAGTTCTACGGTTTGAGCGGAATGAGACTGCATTTTTCTAATACAAATGGCCACCTAGGAAACATTAAGGAAATCCATAATTATAGTCACAATGTGATCCCAAATAGAGAGAAAGCTAACGTCAACACATCAACCACGCAAGTGTAAATGTAAACCAACATTCCAAATTAAATTTGTCCTAGAGTATACTTGGGAGAGAGACTGGTCTTGGAACGAGACTTAATAGGAGGAAGCGAAATTCGAACGTCTTTCTTTCTTAAAAAGTTTCAAGTAGTGAGCAACGTGTCTAATATGAGAGAAACTTATATTCCACCATTCGAAAATCCAGGATGAATCGAAATGATGGTCTTGATAAACCCGCATTTGTAACGACCATATAGAATGCTCCAGTTGTTACTTTCTACAACTGACTTCTAAAAAATTCATAGAAATCCAGTATTTGACTTTCCAACTGAAAAATGCATCAATGGTTTTCATCACCTTTGTTTTGAGTTAGTTGTGTGAAAAATAATGAGTGATGAATAGGGACACTACTAGGCTGTGCTACGATTTTTTGATATTTGAATTGGTCGAATCGTGAGTCTTAGTGATTACAATTACAAGATTGGATTGGTGGCTATCATCTGGATGGCTATCAGTAGAGTATGACAAGAAGTCCTCGTTTGACATTTAAGGCATCAGTGGCAATTGCAAGAGGAAAAATTATTGTTCAAGGTTGTGTCAAGGACTCATAGTACCATGATGACGCCAAGCTTCTCATTATCAAAAGCATTAATGATTAATTAGTATTCCCAATTAAGTTCGTCAAGTGATAATTGTTGTCACAACGAAACAAACAAACTATGATGAAATCTTGTCTCATCTATACAGTCCTTTTTTTAAAATAGATGCCAAAGAATATTGTTCAATCCCTTCAAAATCACTACAACAACTTGTGTCGTGATGAAGGATTACATGTTGACCAATGTTGTGGATTACTTGTACACTCTTGTTGCAACTTGATATTGTCCATTGCTCTTCTTATCGTTTTGATATTGTTTCACTCTGAGGAAAAAACTGGAATGGTGTTGATATATCGTTAGAATTCCAATCTAATGTAGTTCTTTCCACAAAATTTACGTCTCAAGATCCAGCAAACTAGTTCAATCGTTCAACACTTTCTTCATAATTTCTGAATAGGATAACGATATTTCTGTGAAGAGATTAGATAATATCATGGCTTGGTCAGTTCACGTTGAGAATGCTATAACGTTCGTTCAACCATTCCGAATTAATATTAAAATAAATAAATAAACAGGCAAGTACTGAGAACGAATGAAGTTGATACTCCAATGGAAGAGTTATTCATCTCGTTGCTAAGATTACGTTAATGCTGTAGGTACTATAGCTAATGGAGTTCGATGCTAAAGTGTGGAAAACAGACTGAAAGTAATCAAATTCGAATGATGCGAGAAACAGTTGTCGTTGGTTCGGGAGAAAAAAGAGTTCCGTGGTGAATAATTGATGAATGGAGTTGTCAGACAACAAGAACATATTTCACATGATGAAAGCTATTTGAGTAGCTTTTATGTTAAATGTGGTATCGTTGATGAAATGATATGGTTGAATATGAGAGTAAAGAATAATAGAACCACGGATGATGACAGCAAGTCAGTAAGCAAAGCAAAGGGAGACGAAGTACTAGTATGCAGAAAATTTTTTGAGCATGAAAATTATTTCGAATACTCAACCCAAACTCTTTTATTGTTTACAATCGAAACATTCCTGCCCTTCACTACGTTCAGAACAAATCATGATTCCGCAGTAGTGGAGGAATTAACTCCATTCTCAGCAGTCGTAGATGAACTCACTTCATTCTCAGCAGTAGTGGATGAATTGACTCCATTCTCAGCAGTCATAGATGAACTCACTCCATTCTCAGCAATCGTAAAGGAACTCACTCCATTCTCTGCAGTAGTGGATGAATTCACTTCGTTCAAAGCAGTCACAAATGAACTCACTTCATTCTCTGCAGTAGTGGATGAATTCACTCCGTTCTCTTGAAGCATTGTTAAAGACTCCTCTAACGCAGATACTTCCTTGAATTCCTGAACAAGCTTCTTCTTTTCTGACCCAAACTTGCGTCCGTTGAACGAGCAGACTGTCCTTTTAAACTTGGAATTTCCACACTTACATGGCGTCTTTTTCCAAGTTTCTGATTTACACCACACTTTTTCTACCAATTCCTTCTTGCTCGGAGGTGGTTTTGTGGATGGACATCGTTGGCGAACGGAGAGGGTAAACCAACTTTGGGTCAGTATTTTCGTACCATTCTTGGCAAAACATGACACGGGACAAATCTTGTTCATACGATCAACCGTATCATCATGCCAAAACGGTTTTCTTAACTCCTTTGAATCAGTCGAAACAGTGGAATTGGGAACCATCCTTCTCTTATTCAATCTCTTCTTCGATGGTTGTTGTTTGTGATAGAGTTGCCTTTTTCTTAACCGTCGAACCTTATTTTTCAGCGACTGAAATGTTCGGTGTGTAAAGTAATCTCGGTAAATTTGTTCCAAATTCATTCCCTTCCGCAAGGATGTCACAATTAAATCCTCTTCCGACTGTGAATAAGGTTCTCCTGGAGTCGTTGATACATTGGACTTGTTCGATGATGGTTGTGCTTGTTTTAACGGTAAGGGTTTGGATGGACTTAATTGACCAATTTTCATAATCATTTTATGGTAATGGTCAGAATTGGTCCATGTTTCTGGAAAAGTTATCGATACAGTAGAGGTAAAGGTGTTAATATCAGTGAATTCTGAAAAGGTTAAATCATCGACACTCCATTGAATGATAAAATTTGTTGCATCTGAAGCATCATACGCTCCTTCCAATCTGGCACGATTAATCTTTCTTTTCAATTTCTTGTACTTTTTCTTCAATGAGTTGATGGATCTATCAAAAAAGAATGTACCAATCTTGCTCCATTCCATATTGAATTGTTTTAAAAATAACAACATACAATGTTCTTGGGTTGCGTATGCTTTTCCTTGATCGAGAGAGAGAGGTTCGATACTAATTCCACGCTCCAAATAAGCAGTCCTTAATAAGTCTCCAAATTTATCAACAGTAGATATGTCTTTCAATACTTCCAATCTCTGCCAATGAGAAGCAATCTTCTTCTTTTTCTTTGCTCTTTCTTCCTCACACTTATAATGATCACTTAAAGTGTGTTCACATGGCGAAAATTTAATTTGCGCCATTGGTATGTATGGAGTTTTTTACCTTCTACACCCCTTTTCAAATACTCGGGACTCTGCTCAATAAAGTCTAATGACAAAATATGCAGAAAATCCCTCAAACACCAATCCTTTTCCAAAGGATGGATGTTTGGTGAGTTACAAACCCATTAGTTTTCCTCCAATTAATTCCAAACTCTTGTTGTTGTTTACAATGTAGAAACATTATTTTTTTTAAAATATCCTTAATAATAATAAATATTTTCTCTCGTTTGGGTTGTGTGGTGATGATAATGAACAACAGCAAGCCTTCCGAACCAATGATGCCCTTTTGAGAGATTCAATACGAACCAATGATGCCATTTCCTAGGACTCATCAGACTCTTCATCAGAAGAAGTATCACTATATTCATCACCCACCCGCTCGTAATCGTGATCCGTTCCATACTTCTGCCCCTCACGGCTTGTTATTGAGTAGTCCCTTATTTTCAAGTTTCATCGGTTGTTGTTGTTGTTGCTGCTATTTATCAGTCCCTTATTATCATGTTTCATCCAAATATTGTTGTTCTCACGAGTTGCAAATGTTCTGCATGTACTATTTGTATTTTGCCAAAAATCGTTATGCAATTCCGGGCGGATCTGCCTAAAGCTTTACAAGACATACACCCTCTCGGTTGGAATTGAGGCAAGAGTTGTTGTGCAATAAAGTACATAAACAAAAGCACTCAAATGATGCATCAAGAAACGTTGACGTCTTCCACATTACCACTGTCGATACTGTCACTGCAACAAGTAGTTGATGGCTTTTAGTGCAAGGTCATAGTGTGGTTCAACGCAACTCCCCTTTTATGTTAGACCCTCGCCAACTCACCAACAAACTCGCTGGAGTATTTTGGCTCGAGTTAAACCACTATGTGTCACTCTTAATTTCGTAAAGAGGTTGTTAAAAATTACAAAAAAATGAGTCAACGAGAGGAAGGGAAAACGGTTTTTTCCTTCTCTTCATCATCATCGTATCAGGAAGATGATTCTACTGGTCGAATGTCAGGAGCCAGGAGAATTGCTGTAACTTCCCGATGGTTGGATGATACTGTATCTTCGGGAAATTCATCTCCGGTAGGCTCACCAGTGATCAATCATATGGTTGTGGTGGATGAGATCCATGATGTCAAAGTAGAGGTCTTGGAGGCTGGTTTGCATAGTAGAGGAGCATCATCATCGTTTGATTCTAAAATTGATGAACAGTTTGGAAAGATTGAGAGGAAGAAACAACGTATTAACGTGGTGTCCTGGAGTGCCACAAATGATTGGTGTTCCAAGGTCTGTCATGATGACAATGATGACAGTGATGAAGATGAGGATGAGCGAATGGATGATCAACAACATGTCAACAACACCAATAGAAGGAAACGATCCACTCTTCAGAAATTGGGTGAAATGGCTCCCGATTTGATTTTGCTACAAGATTTGAATTATGAACAAACCATGAAAGCAATGAAATACTTGACAAAAGCTGAAGAACATTTGCACGATGAGTACGATGGAAATGAAGAAGACTTGGAGCCTCCTGTTTATAAATGGTTTTGCTGTGGTCACAAACATACTTCCGAACCAGTCAAGGTCTCCAAGTCCTGTAATTCCGATGATGACGATGAAGGAGTACCTTCCTCCCTTATATCTCCACTCGCATCCATGGGTGGTAATCAATCCATCATTTCTGCCTTGTTGAAAAATGATGTGAAGAAGAAAATTGAGGCCGACCAAGATCCCGACGACTTGGTCAATGAGTATTTACCAATTATTTATAATTCTGAGACGCTAAAGTGTGTGGATTGTGGTGCGTTTTGGTATAGTAAAACTCCACAAGAGGCAGGCTCCAAGTCGTGGGATAGTACTGTGCCACGTTTTTGTAATTGGGGTGCTTTTATTTTCAAGCCCTATGATGAAGAGGATGACCACATTGATTTACTTGTATTTAATACACATTGGGATCAAGGAGTGGAGGCAAGAAGATATGCTTCCATATTATTGAGACAAGAAGTGCTAAACCGAATGTCTGTCTACAATGCTATAACCAATAGAACCACTTTTATTCCTACCATCATTGGTGGAAATTTGAACAGTTTACCAAGATCCAATGCTCTCAGCATTTTGGTTCAAGGACAAGATTTGGGTGCACACAACAGTGATGTTAATTTATTGGCAGACAGTGACGATGACGACGATGACGATGAACAAGTTGAAAAAATTGATAAGGAAAGTCTCATCATTCCATGCCAGAGACAGTTAATGCCTCCTCAAGCTGCTGGAACAACATTACAAAAATCCGCAACTGTTAAAAAAGAGGATGACAAGGATTTCGTCAAGATAGAAGAAGAGAGCGAAGAGGAAGAAGCGAGTGACGCCTCCTCAGAATCTTATTCAGGAACGTGGTTCCATAACCTTAATTTACAACCCACCTTTGTTGATTTTGAAACCAACACGTTCGAAACAGTAGATTATCTTTTTGTATCTCCCTGTGTGAAAACCATGAATTTACAAATACTCGATTCAGATTTAAGTTGTGGCGAAACACACAAACCACATGTAGCCACATTGGAAATGTGACACCATTAATGGGTCTGTCACTCTCGCATCTCACCTCTTTTACTGTATTTATTATATTTATGAAACATACAATTTTTCACCCTTCCAATTAATTGTTTATTATTGCATTTTCTATGAATTGTTACAAGATAATGGATTGTTTCGCAATCCAAATTCAAATTCGGTTTCATGATTACAATCAAATTCATCTTTCCAAAAAAATGAGTCAACCACACGACGACACTCTTTCCGAAGAACCTCTCGGAGGCGGAGAAGGAGGAGCAAATCCTTCAAACTCCTCTCGTCATCACTATTACAGCCTTGCTGCAGAAAATTTTTCAGCACCTCAAAAGAAACGTATCGGTTTAGGAACGTTGGCTATTTTGTTCGGAATTGGATGCGTGATTATTTCAGCATTGATCGTTTTGATTGTTGTGAGCGCAGTGTTGTATTGGGGCCCTGGACAAAACAAAAAGATTTATCCCAATCCATCGTATACACCCAGTAGTGATTATTTACATTTCATTGTCGTTGGAGATCAAGGAAGAGGAAATGATGAACAGAAAAAAGTTGCTGAGAGTATGGCTCGATATTGTAACTTTGAAAATGGAATGAATCCACAAAAATTGCCATGTCAATTCATTATTGGAACTGGAGACAATATTTATGATAATGGAGTGACAGATGTCAATGATGTGCAATTTAAAACAAAATTTGAAGATATTTATGTCCAAGAGAGCTTGAAGAATTTGGATTGGTATTTTGTTTTGGGTAATCATGATTATAGAACAAACCCAGAAGCTCAGATTGCATATTCACAATTGAGCAAGAGATGGAAGCTGCCTAAACAATTTTATAATTTTGACAAGATTTCTACTGAAAACAAATTTAAAGTGTCATTTGTCATGTTAGATACAAATCCATTTGTGAACAAGTACTTCTCAGATTCAAGAGCTAATCAAACAGCATTGAACCAACAACGAGCATTGAATAACGAACAAGTCAAAATGGTTGAGAATATTTTGAATACCAATATGAACAAGAATGATACATGGACTTTGGTTGTGGGTCATCATCCATTGTTTAGGTATGTATTTGTTTGTGGCATTCATTTTTGTGTTTTTAATATTTTGTGATTGAAATTTGCATGTGTGAAAAATATCTATTGATTTTTGTTGATTGCGGATTGAACTAAAATGGTCACAAAAATCATGGTGTTGTGTATGTGCATGATGAATTGCCAACGTCGTCCTTATTGCTTGACAGTGCTGGATCACACGGTCCTGTCACTCAAGAACTTGTAGATAATTTTGAACCTCTCTTTGTGAAATACAAGTTACCCATGTACTTGTGTGGACATGACCATTTGTTAAATTGGCTTTCAAGTTCAGATAGTGGTTTTCCAACACAGTATGTCATTTCTGGTGGAGGTGCTGGAAATACACGACCCATGATTTACAACAAGTACTCATTGAATGATTTGAACGATTCTGGATTTTTCTCTGTTGAAGTTCAACAGAGCTTTATGTTTGTGAGAGCTTTTGACAAGTACGGAACTGAGGTTTGGAAATTTAAAATTTCGAGGCCTCCTCAATAAACGTTGATCAAGTGATATTACAAGAGCCGAATCTCTTGTTAATGGAATGGTGAACTTTACCTATTTGCATCTGCAATCAACAAAAAAAGATGACATCCACTAGCAACGCTGCAGAGCAGGCGCACCAGTAATCACAACGTCACAAGCTTCAATCATCATTGAAAAAACCAACTTTGCAGAATAATCACTTGACCATGCTCTTGTGTTTGATGATCGAAGGTGAGAATTTATTTCTGTCATTCCCATCTCGGTGGATGTGTTGTGGTTTCAACAAACTAACACTCAATTAACACTTCATTTTCGATCAAGATTGAACTCTCAATATTCTAACTGCCAGTGACACAAGTAACACAATCTTTTAATAGGTTTGCCAGCATCAAACATCAAAAAAAAAATTAAAGAACCTTACTCTTCTTCTTCTTTTGAGAAGGACCAGTAAATTCAATGTCCAGCCTGGATCCTTTTGGTTCTGCTTCCTCTTCAATAATTCTCTCAATGGTGGCTGTGGCAGAAGGTGACAAGACATCCCACACAGAAAACAAAAATTCAAACGTCATCAACACAATATTCGTCAAGCAGGTCACAACAAGTAGTGAATAAGCATTATACATCGACCCAGCAGCTGCTGTTGTGCTCACATTTTGATTGGACACCACACTAGGAATGCCACCACTCAATGTCACAAATGCCTTCGAATAATGTCTCAAGAAAATTCCAAATTGAGTCCACAACACGACTCCAACAAAGATGAAATCTCTCTTAAACTTGGAAAACCATAAAGCAATCACTGAAGAAATTGTAACCATTGTTGCAGACCATTGTTCTTCATTCAATAAATTAGCCACATATCCACACATGGATGCAAATGAAAGAATGGGATGTTTCAATACATCCATTTGAAATATATACAATGTATCTTTTTGCTTGGAAAAGACATCACTGAAAGGTTGGATCACATCATATTGCAGAATGACCAGACACGAAGCAAGTAATGCCATTGTGATCCATGCCAAGTATACTGTAAATGGTAAACGAACCCATAAAGGATATTCATGAGCATGTTTTCCATATCGAATACGAATGGCACTCGAATAAATAATAAATAAATTCATCCAGAGAGACATGAAAATCAAATGTGCAAGGAAAATATTGTCATAGCAAAATGCAAGGATCCAACACGTATTTAACACATTCGATAATAAAAACCATGGACCAACGACACGACCAATTTTCTCACTCTGTGCTCGATTGGAATTAATCACAGAGAGGAAACTAAATAGAAAGAGTCCTCCATAAATCACAAGCCAGATGTGGAATGTGTAAGGTAAGGGATAGAAGGCAACGTCGTATTTTCTGCTCACGCTTTCCACAGTTTTTGCATTTCCAATGTAGTAAGTGAGAGTATTGTGAATGAGTTTTGAATAGTAGGCAGAGGGAATGTACTGAGTGAAGAGTTGGAGGCCTTTCTGATCCACTACAAACGAGCGAACGAAATTGGAGAGAAAGGTCTCTGTGAAAAAAACATTCACGGCCAATACTCCAATGAGGGAGATGAAATTAATGGTGTTAATGAGGTGACCAATCATGTAGTGCAAGCAAAGTTTCGAATGGGAAGCGTGTACACAAATTTTTGTGTGTGTGCTGTTCAATGTGTAACAACGATATTCTTCAATGCAGCCATTTAGCTTATTGGACAAATTAGGATCATTACCAAATTTTGGAAAATTTTCAAAAATATTCAATTACTGTCGTCAGTTTGAGAATGGCTTCTCCTCATGGAAGCACCAATGAATCGAAATTGTATTGATCTGAAAAGTGGTAATGTTAAAAAAATTTCTGAAATTGGAAAAATCATATAGTTCACTTTTCCTCTCAAAGAATGGATATCCTGAAATATTTGAGCCAATATTCAAGTTGTCGTAGTAATATAACCAAAGTAGAACTGTTTTTCATCAAAAATGATCATCAAGTCGTGGCATGCATTCATGCATAATGTCTAATTGTCCAAATTTGAGAAAGTAGTACAAGTCTTCTGTTCTTGAAAAAGTCATTTCGTTATATTCATGAATAGGAGTTATTTGAAGTGAAATGGCTCCCATTAAGCATCTCCAAATGAATGTGTTTCCTAGTTGTGTGATAAAGTCATTCTGTTCACTGAAATTGTCATCATCATCAAAATTGGAGCTTCCAAAAGCACTTGAGGATGAATCTCCTTTTAGCCAAGGATATGCACTTTCTAAGTCCTTTCCTAGTATTACAGAAAAGTTCTCAAGCCCAACCTCAGTAATGGACATGGAAATTAGATCCCCTAAATTATAGAAAACATCCATGTCAATATCAACATTAGGATTCAGGTCACTATAAGGAAAATCAATGATAAATGTCATTTTCACAAAATCGCAATTCCAGTTCACAAATATTCCCTCCACTTGCATGGTTCTTCGAGTAATATTCATGGACTCAATGGTTTCCTCTTCTGTTTCCTCCTCAATTCTCTTGCAGAGTCGAGTAAATTTAAATGTTTCTTCAATAATTGACAAGTCGCTTACTAACGAGTCAAGATCTTGCTGATGATTCTCCAAATAATTAGCTGTGGTCCTGTAGGCATCCACTTGATTGAGAAAGGCAACAAAGAGTTCAATTCTTTGTTGTGTGTTCATTACAATATTGGTCGAATAGGTTTGAATGAGATGTAAGAGAGCTTCTCGATCTAATTGTTTCAAAGTCATCATTGGAGTCCCATTTTCATTCGTATCGTTTTCATCATCCACCATTAATCCTTCATCATTGGCAAACGTACGATCGTTAGAAGTCATGATACTTCCATTATCATCTGCTGTAGATGTCAACATCGTCGTCATGGATCGAACATGACGAACACTCAGTGCTAGAGCATCATTCCTCCTCAAATGTTTGTACAAGGTCTCAAATGTAGCGTGATCTTTTCGTGTTTGTTCGTTGGACATGAATACTTGTCCAAATTCAATTCGTTCCATCAGTTTTTTAATGGCACTACTACTTGATGATGAGGAATAATCCCGATATAAGAGTAATTCCCAAATTGATTTTTCTTCATCTTCGGAATCATCATTAGCATCATTGTAATCCTCTCCTCCTCTATGTTGATATAAAAACGAATTTCCTTCATTGTTTTGTCGTATGGAAGGATATAAACAACTCGTCCAGCCTTTACAAACATACGGCATGGATGTAAAAGTGGTTTCAAAATCCAAGAATAGTAAAATCCTCTGCACGATGGCTCGTACCCATGCTGGGGGTATTGGAGAAAATAGTGATATTAAACCTATTTTGTCTTCTGATGATGAATGATTGTGAATGCCCATGATTGCATCTCTTCCGAAATCATTACCATGATCGTGAGAATTCAGGTAAATCATTTCCAACAATATAATGTTATTTCTAATATTTTTTTTGTTAAAGCTTAACACTATCAAAAGGTTGCACTCCGCAAATCGAAAATTATTTTCATTCAGCTTACGGACCTCAACAATGATCATGAGTATTTATGTGTTTTTCATTTCAACTCCAGTCGACTCGAGAAGAATTCACAACAAAAAAAATGCCTCCAAAAAAGAAGGAAAAAACCGTTACATCTTCTTCCTCAAAAAAGAAGCAAACAACAACCACAAATACTTCAAATAATTCTAGTACGAATCGGAAACATAAGCAACAAAAAAGACCAGCTGAAGAAGAAGAGCATTTACATCCTCCTGAGGATGATGATAACATTATTGATGATGATGAAGGAGGCGATGAAGAAATTGTTATCGGAGAGCAATCGCTCTTGTCTGTAGGCAGTAGTGGCGCAGCAGGCAACACAACAAAGAAAAACAAGGAATCAACGAAAAATAGCAATAACGGCAGTGAAAAGTTGGATCCATCCCGAAAGAAAACCAAGCCCAATGACTCATGTGCTGCCACTACCTCTAATTCAACTTCAAAAATCAACAAAGAAATACAGAGCTCAGAAATGGACACTACATCGAACGGTGATCAACAAGGCTCCACAACAACATCAGTTTCTTCAACCTTGAATGCATACAAAATTGTAGATGCTCATACTGGAAAGAAAAAGACAATTGGACCAAAAAACAAAATTACCTCTCTCAATCAATTGAGGCATGCAATTTGTGAAGTATTCAAACTAAAGTCAGTGAATGATATTGAGTCCATTCGAAACCTGGACGATAAAGACATTACGGATGCTGATTTACAAATGGCATCTTCATCTTTGGACGCAAAGTCCAACAAGAACGGTCTGAATGATAGCACCATTGTTGTCATTGACGACACCAATCAAAACAGCTATTCCACTAAAAATTTACCACCAACCTCAACGCATGGATATTTCATACTGACCTTGAAATCCAATGCTGTTTCCGAAAGCTCTTCTAAGGTGAAAGCTAATTTACAATTAACTGTAGATATTGTACCTCATGTAAATATTCTAATTCATGGTGGAGATGAATACGATTTTATAACAGCTTTGGCAGAAGTCATTGATAACTCCATTCAAAATACTGTACTAAATAAGAACGACAGAATCATAGACATACGCTTTGAAAAGCCGTCACAAAACAACGAATTTAAAAGCAAATTACATATTTGGGACAATGGCAGAGGAATGAATTTCAAAACATTGGTTAATTGGGCAACACTGGGAATTACAGATGCTCCTGTTGACGACGCTGCTAGCATGGCTGCAAAGAGCAAATCTGACCTATCAAGACGACGAATTTTTGACAAATTCATAACTTCTGATTTTTCTCGATATGGAGTTGGTTCGAAAAAGGCAATTTTTAACCTTGGTGACCAAGTGACTCTCGTTTCCAAACCAAAAGATTCTCGTTTCGTCTATGAAGTCACATTGTCACGGCAAAAATTGGAAGAAGACTTTGGTTCTGGAAAAGATAAGCAATGGAAAGCGGATTGCATCTCTAGGCCACCCTCTGACACGGAAAAACAATGGGACAGTTTTACTCACTTCACCATTTCTGACATTAAGAAGGTCTATGTGGATCGGTACGATGCAAGCATTATTAAGAAAAGACTTGGACACATTTATCACTATTACATTTATGGTACCGATGGAAATAAGGAGAGCCAAGATATTATCGAGGATGATGATGAGTATTCTGATACCCAAGACGAACTTGAAGAGGAAACTGTACCGGCCAGCGACGACGAAGATGAAGAACCTAAGAAAACATCTAAATCCTCCTCTCAAGGCAGCAGCACGTCATCCTCTCAAAAGAGGTCATCCAAGAAAGCTCTGAGCGACGAAGAAGATTTTGTCCATTTCCGAAAACCAAAGAATGTAATTATTAAGGTTGATGGAATACCTATCACCTCAGAAGATCAGGATTTAGAATCTCTCTATCTACAGGAAGGAAAGTCACCGTTCTCGTTTGAAATTAAATTGAGCGTGAAAAATAGTGACAGCTCAAGCACAGGAATGGAGTTGAGCATGCCAACTCAAAGCTCAGGTGTTTCCATTGTCAACAGCACAGTGAGAGGAATTATTTACTATTATCCCTTCAAGCAAGGTCGAGAAACTTTGCCAATTCCAGAAGACCTGTATTTGGAAGGAGGCAAGTATATGCCAACAGATCAAGAAGTACCTCTTTCTGAAAGAAATCCAGGATTTGAATGCTTTTGGAATGGACGATTGTTGGCCAACGAGAAAATCAAGAATTTACCATGGATGGAGAAGGAGAGAAGTAATCGTGACATTCCTGACAATTGTTATCGTAGAGTGAAAGGAATGCTATTTTTTGATTGCGCTTTTGAGGTTTCTGCAAACAAAATGTATCTATGCAAGCAAACACCACTGTGTCAAGCACTGATGAATTATACTGACAGGACTCTGGTACAACGTTATCGCAAGTGGATGAAAGAGTGCCATAAAAAACTCGACGAAGAAATCATTTTTGATGAATGTGATCTTGAAAGAACTCAGAAAGAAGGAAAGGGCCTTAAAACATTTTACAAAAGAATCAAATACGGACAAACTTCATACACCGTCGGAGATTATGTAGTCATGAAAACTAGACCAAAAATTATTGGTACACTTGTAGACATGTTCAGAGATTTGACCTCTGAAGAGTATACTGTGACTGCAGTTGTTAAAGAGTGGTCTCCCGAGAGTCTAAATGATGATACTCACAAAATTACTGGTCAATGTTTTCCAATATCCAAAATTCAGAGCGTGCTCACAAAACAAGAATTCAAGTCAGAAATTAGTAAGCTGAAAAACAAATTACCAAGTTATATTGAGGTTGTTGACACGCCCAGTGTGAGCGCGCGGGAGAGGCGCCCTCCTCCTGATCCAGTCACAGCTGGCTATGTGCTGAAATACATCTCAGCAAGCATAATGACTGGTGATCACAAAGTTGTTACCACTCAATTATTTCCAATTACACTCACAATTCGATATGAGGGCGACAATGAGCAAGAACAAAAGTTTGAGGCTTCTGTTACTTCCACAAAGCCCTTCAAAAAAGGTGTTCATTGTTTTAAACCAAACAAGCTCAAGTCAGAGTTCAACGTGGCCGGCACCTATCTACTTGAATTATCTTCGACAGAAGATAGTGGAATCAAGTCCAAGGTTGTGAAACTAGATGTGGTACCAGCTGGGCCAACAGCTCTCAATATTTGTAGTGAAATACCAACAGTGTCAAAGCTTTTTTCTGTTCTAAAAGTGGACAAGAAGTTGGCTGAAGATGCAATTGTGTTTTTCTTGAACAAAGAGATTCCACCTATTGTGATTGAACAATTGGATCCTTATGGTAACTTTGTTCCCTTCGCTATCTCTGGAAATCTTTTGAACGAACAGCTTAAGATTACTACGAGCGACGATTCTATTGTACTCTCGTCTTATGAAGCATCGTTTACCAATGATAGGCGACTACAAATTAGTGATTTGCGTATCACAAGCGCACATTTAGGAAACGCAAAATTTTTGAACACCAAATTACTTATTTCCTTTGGAATTTTGAGTGTTTTGGAGCTGAATATATTTATTTTAGCTGGTCAAGTTTTCTCAATTCAATTATCAGAAGACTCAAATTCGACCTTAAAGAATAATTCTGTGAAGAAAATGTTACCTGATATTGAAGCGAAATTACTCGACGAAATGGGCAACTGTGTGTTCATAAAACCAGTGTATGACGAAGAGGAAGACAACGATGAGGCAGAGAATTTTTCCCCAATTCTAAAGGGAGATGCTCTTAAAGAAGAAATTCGAGGAATTCTAAACGCAGAGACAGGACACTTCGTATTTAAGGGTGCAACACTGCATTCCGATTCTAATAGCTCTCAAAGAAAAGAAACAGAAATCATATTGCGCTGCAACAAAATCTCCATCACAATTCCTCTCACCATTGAGGCTATTTCAACAATCAAACCATCCACTTTCAGTTTAAGTCCTCCAGATACCGACAAACACATGGTTAAGGATCGTCAGCCACTGAAAGTAAACGTTCAAGCCATTGTTGGGACAGAATTGGTTGGATGGAAACTTGAACTTGGTAATGAAATGTACGAAAGAATGGCGTTTGATGGATATGCTCGCACTTCATGGAGTAGTGCCAACCTACTGCCTGTTGAAAATGGAATTTGTTTCCTTCCAACACTGGTGGTACCTCAATCTGCTAAAACATCCAAATATACCATAGACATCCTTTCAAAATCTTCTCGAAATGAAGATTTAATGCAGGATGACGATGGTGACCATGACATTAATCCTGAATTCATCATTGCAAACTTTACCATTCATTTACGAAGTGTCAATGGTCCTCCCTGTATTTTCAAAATTGATAGAAAGAAAAGTGTTCTAGGAGCTATCAAGTGTGAACAACCCTTCTCAATCAAATGTTCAATTATGGACGCCTATGGAAACACTCTCGATCCACAAGAAGATAAGGAAATATACCCAGAGCTCGAACATATCGATGCTGCTATTGAGATTGTTTCCCAATTGAATGGTGAATCTGAAAAAATTGAAATTACATCACCTGAAAAGATGAAGAAAGTTACAACGAAAAATGGTTATTTAAAATTTTCCAATATTTCTCTAATTGGCCCCACTGGTGAGTTTCACATTAAGGTCATTGATAGAAGCGGGAAGATAAAGGAGGACAAGATTGAACATGTAATGTTAGAGCCTGGTCCTCCTCATTCGATACGAATTAATGAGACCATCGGAGAAGTTATTTTTGATGTTGAGAATCTTGGGTTAACACCACCGTTTTTTGTTACTTGTCATGACAAGTTTGGGAACAAATATTTGACACATGGAAGCTACGAAATTGACACTCCAGAAACTGGTATTGACATTCGTCAGTATGAAGGAGAGATGAATCAGTCGATAGACCTTCAAATCGATGAGGGACGAGCATATATGCCTCAATTCTGGATTAATGGAGTTGAAGGACTTCATCCTTTCTCGATAGAATATGAAAATCCTAAAGTCGAGCGAGCCTGTTTCAAAATTAAT